TTATTCCTTTGTTTCTCTCTTTTTTCTTCTGATTTATTTCTAAATTTCTGTGTTTGATATCACTTATCCTTTCCTCCATTTGGTTGACTCTATTTCCCAAGTTTGCTATTTCATTTTTCAACTCTTGCAGTGTGTTCTTTATCTCCAGAAGTTCTAGTCGATACTTTTTGAAGGTTTCAGTCTCCTTGCTAAAGAACTCATTCCGCTCATCTAGTTGTTTTTTCAATTTCTGAAATTGTGGATATGATTCATTTCGGATCTCACTGAGTTTTTTCAGAAGTACCATCTTTAATTCTGTCATTTATGCTGCATATTTCTATGTCTGTAAGCTTATTTTCTAGAGAGAGATTTTTCTCTTTCTTTCTGAGATGCCTTGTCGCCTTGGTTGTTCACAGTGTTTAATGGATTATTTTTTTGCCTGGGCATTAATGGAAATGTATTCTGCTTTTTTCCCAGAAAAAAAAAAATTTATTATCTTAAGGTCTCTCTAGCCTGTTGCAAAGAAGGCATTTTTCTTTTGGTTTCCAGTAGGTGGTTTCTAAGCCTCTTGTATCCCTGCTTTGTATAAAGGCTTAATAATGCCTTTTCATTTTCTTATAGACATTTAATCACACTCACTACCCTCAGTTTCAGTCCCTGTCAGTGTTAGCAACAGTTTCAGCAGCGTTTGCTCAGAATCCCCTGGGCCTCCTTGGTGTTTCGTCTCTGAGAGTGTGGGGGACGGGCCCTCTGGGTTAGGTGTTGGGCGCTGCAGCACAGCCTCATTTTTGCAACTGCGGCCAGTACAAATCAACTGTTGTTTCTCTGTCGACTGCTTCTCTGCTTTCTGCCATGATGACTGGGCCCTTCCTCCACCTGCGTGGAACTCAAAACTCTCCCAGACAGGGCTGCTCAGGGAACTTGCCTCACCTTCTTCCCCTCCCGCTTCTCCTACAGGTAAGGAAGCTCTGGTGGCTGTGAGAGGCAGCTTCTTTATTTCTCCCATTCCATTGCCTGACACCTGGGGTTCTGGCCTGTGGTAGCTCTTATGTGCAGATCCTATGTCTAGATGTGCTGGTATGCAGTTTGGGTGTTTTTTGTTAAGTTTTAGATGTTCAGCCTATTGTTGTTTCAAGGGGGAGAGATCTGGGGACTTTTCTCACTCTTCCATGTTTCTCCAAACCTTGCATCTTTATTATTGTTGGTGGCATATACAGTTCTCAATAATAGTTAACATTTATTGAGTGCTTACTCTGTCAAGAACCAATCAATATACTATATCACCTCTCAAATAACACGGTATATAAAATTTTATAGTTAAGTAGGTAGAGAATCTACTTTTGTGCTAGGAACTACATCAGTTATATATAAATTATTTCATATAATCTGCACAACTATCTTATGATATGGGTATTATCATTCTCATTTTACTGAAGGAGACACTGTGGCTCAGAGAGTTTCAGTAACACACATGGCAGCAGAGCAAGATTTCTAACCCTATTCTACCTGATGTCACAGTTCTAGTTTTATCTTATATGCTTAACTGGTCTCTTCTGGAAATTTTCTTTCTTCTATTAATTTGCTAAAAAAAAATACTTTACTGACTCATTCTTTCCAGTCATCCTTGGGGCTAACACAAGGCAAAATTAGCATACTCAGTGGGCAGTAAGCCCATTGGCGGTTTTACCTCTCAGGTCATCCTGATGGCCATGAACAAGTCCAACAGCCTACGTCCTTCCCTCAGTTCTGAGAAGAAAATGACTTGTAGTCTGAGGACATCCATTTTTACATATAAATAAGAAATGCCTTGCTAATAACCTACTAGGATTACTAAATTCTCATACTTATAACTAAAATTAATGGTAAACTCATAAACTCATTTACTGAGGTCTCTGATTTAGTATTCTTAGAACTTGAGCTGCTTCACATGTTGACTGAACACATGTTGATAGTTGTAATTCTTACAATTTAAGGGAGGGAGTTTTCTTATAATATTATCTTGAGTTGGTCACTTGGTTTCCAATTTCTACTCACCTCGATTTATTCAGATATTTTTACAATTATTGTTAGGTTTACTTTTGTAGATCATTTTGTTCTTGCATAACTAAAGTTGTAAATTTTAGACTCTCATTTCTTCATGGATTCTTCTTATTCAATTCTTTTTCTTTTCTTTCTTTTTAACTGAAAAGTGAGAATAAAAATTAAGAACTATCTAGATAAAGGGAAGGATTTTCAATGATTTCTAGCTTTCACTTGCCTTATAAATGTTAGATGAACATTTTGGCAGTTCAGAACAATTCTAGAGGGTAGATATTACAGTTGGCATATGCCAAACTCACAGATATGGAAGGCCAACCAAGGGATTTGCACATCCACAGATTTTGGTATACGCAGTGGTCCTGGAACCACTCCTCTGTAGATATTGGAGGACAACTGTATTTTCCCTAATTTAAAGAAGAGAAAAATGAGGCTCAGAAAGATTAAGCGACTTGTTAACTTTTCAGAGCTAATAAGGAAATGAAATTACAACTCAGGTCTCCTGATTCCAAAACTGTGCTCCTTCTATTACATTATACTATCAATTCCAGAGTGTTTGCTATCTAATTCTCACCTGCAGATTTCTTTTCCTCTGCTTATTTGGCTGAATATAACTCTAATAATTACTGACCATATAGTAAAATTTAATTAGTGTTAACTTCAGGAAAACCAAATTCTGTTATCAGGTATTCAAATATTACTAAGCTGTTAAACTGGTGTGTGAGTATTTTTTTGTTGTAAAGAATTTTTGGATGTAACAGCTTTTTTTTTTTTTTTTGCAACAAGATGTAACACATTTGTATTTCCAGGACTGAAATAGATACTAAGTAAACTGCTGTGGGTAACATGGCTCTAGATGTATACATTTGAATAAAGAATAAGAAAAAGAAAAAAAGCTTTGACTTTGGAATTTCTTGCAGGCATTCTGCAAAGGCTCACTGATCTTGGAACATTTGGATGTCTCTTACTGCCAACAGCTATCAAATGAGATTATTAAAGCACTGGCCATTTATTGCAGTAACCTCACATATCTCAGCATCGCTGGCTGTCCAAAGGTATGCGCAGAAGTCAGAGCTCAGACATGTAAAACTGAAGCACTGCCAAAGAACTCAGGCAGGGTAGCAGTTCAGGGGTTGGATTCATCATAGAACTTGTTTTCTTTGCCATGTCTTAGGTATTCATTAGATTTTTTTTCTTTCCCCAATTGGAAATAGCTTTATGATTTTATTTGTGTCAATATAGAATTTTTAAAAAGTTTAAAACAATCCTCACACAAATATAAAAATGTGTCAAAGATATATTTAATTCATTAATGAGAAAACCAGCAAAATGGTAAAGCCAGTTCATAGAGCATTTGATCAAACTGAGTATTTATAGTAACTAAAGAAAGAATGTTGGAATGTATTTTTGGGTTAGATCCAAAATTGGTTAATGACCTATAAGATAATAAATCTATAACCTTGGAGCTACAGTTTCTACCAGACAAAAATAATTTGCATCTCTCTTGTACAAAAATACAATAAGTTATAACATGTAACTTTACTGAGTTTTGGCCCTAATAGTAAGTAATTTATCAAACAAAAGCATAATTCTATATGGAATTCCTCAGATGAGCCTGTTAATGTTCCAGTATGACACTGAAAGTACATACAATCATCTTTTGTCTTATTTTGAAGTATTCAACAATTTTCCTTGATACTTGTTTATAAAAGAAATATGTACTCATTTTAAACTATTTGGACTACATATAAAATCATAAAGGAGAGAATAAAAATCCATTGTTATACCATGATCCAGACATAACCCTTTGTTGACATTTTATACTTATTCTTCTAGAATTTTTTTCTATGTACAGAGATTAGAAGTAGTTATAGAAGGTCTTTAAAAAACCAAGAAACTCATACTTTCCAAAATACATTGTAACCTACTTTCTTTTCTCTTAATATGCTATGGACATGTTTCTGTGTCAAGAAATAGAGGTTTCAGGGTCTGGATTAATGTGGCAGATTGAATATACACATAAAAATTATTCCCTTTTGAAACCCTACCAAAACTGCAGAAGGATGAGGGCCCACATTGATAGGGAAAACAAGAGAAGACAAAAGCAACAAAAAATTTGGAAGTCTAAAATAGATGGACTAATTTAGCAGACCAAATATAGAGTTGTTTTTTTGTTGTTTTTTTTTTTTCAAAAATGATTATTTTATTATCTCTCATGGCTTCTATGAGTCAGAAATTCAGGGAAGGCTCTGTTGTGTGGTCCTGCCTTTGAGATCTCTCATGTGGTTATGATCACATGGGAGCAGGAGCTAAACCAGTGGAAATGGCTAGCCATCTCTCTCCTCATATATTTCTAGGACATCTCCTTTTAGTCTCTTTGTATTATCAGACATGGCAGCCTTAAGGCATTTGAAATGAGTACATTAAGGCTGAGGGCCTTAAAAATGACTATTTCAGTAAATAAGTTGGAAGCTGCCTCACCTTCTTTGAGATAACTCAAAATTCACACATCTTTTTTCTTCAGGTGTACAACACAGTAATTAGACATTTATATAACTTATGAAGTGATCACTTCAATAAATCCAGTACTCATCTGACAGCATATATAGTTATTACAATATTATTGACTATATTTACCATGCTATACTCTACATCCCCATGACTATTTGTACCTCTTAATCCACTCCCAACTTCACCCACTCCCTCAACCCCCTCCTATCTGACAATCATCAAAATGTTCTCTGTATCTATGTACTTGTTTCTGTTCTGTTTTTTCCTTCATCCTGTTCTCTAGAGTCTACATGTAAGTGAAATCACATGACATTTGTCTTTCTTGTATGATTAACTTCCCTTAGCACAATATCCTCTAGGCATTCATCTTGTTGCAGATGGCAAGATTTCAACCTTTTTTAAGGCCAAGTAATATTCCATTGTATATATTTACCACCTCTTCTTTATTTGTTCATCCACTGATGAACACCCAGGTTGCCCCCATACCTTGGCTACTGTAAATAATGCTGCAATGAACATATAGATTCAAATGTCCCTTCGAAGTAATGTTGTGGGTTTCTTTGGATAAATAAGTGGGATTAGTGGGGTTTTTTTTTTTTGTTTTTTTTTTTGTCTCTTCTTATAGCCTTTATTTTAAAGTCTATTTTGTCTGGTATAAATATTGCTACCCTACCTTTTTTTCCTCCAATTTTATAAAATATCTTTTTCCATCCCTTTACTTTTAGTCTGTGTGTTTCTTTTGATCTGAAGTAAGTCTATTGTAGCTAGTGTATGTAAGAGTTTTATTTTCTTATGCATTCAGTCAACCTATGTCTTTGATTGGAGCATTTAATCCATTTACATTTAAAGTAATTGTTCATAGGTATGTAGATATTGCCATTTTATTATTGACATTTTTTATCTTTTTTTTCTTCTTTTTAAAGAAGTCCTTTTAATATTTCTTATATTAGTTCGGTGTTGATGAACTCCTTTAGCTTTTTCTTGTCTGAGAAGCTCTTTATCTTTTGATTCTTAATGATAGTTTTGCTGGTTAGAGTAATCTTGGTTATAGATCCTTACTTTTCATCACATTGAATATTTTGTGCCAGTCCCTTTGGCCTGCAAATTTTCTGTTGAGAAATTAGCTGACAGTTTTATGGGAGCTCCCTTGTGGTTAATTAGATGCTTGTCTCTTACTGCTTTTAAGAGTCTCTCTTTGTCTTTAACTTTTAGCATCTTAATCATGATGTGTCTTGGTGTGGGTTTCTTTGGGTTCATCTTGTTTGAGACTCTCTGTGCTTCCTCGGCTTGTATGTCTATTTCCTTTGCTAGATTATAGAAGTTTTCCATTATTATTTTTTCAAGTAAGTTTTTAAATCCTGCGCTCTCTCTTCTCCTTCTAGTACTCCTATGATAGAAATGTTGGTATGCTTGATGTTGTACCAGTGGCCCTTTAAATTATACTCATTTAATTTTTTTTTTATTTTTGCTGTTCTTATTGGCTGTTTTCTTCTACCTTATCTTCTAAATCACCTATCCAGTCCTCTGCTTCATCTAATCTACTTTTGATTTACTCTAATGTATTCTTCATTTCAGTTATTGTATTCTTCATTTCTAACTGTTTTTTATATTTTTTATCTCAATTTTTGTTTTCTATCTCTTTGTTGAAGTTCTCACTGAGTTCATCTACTCTTCCCCTAAGTTCATTTAGCATCCTTATAACCAGTGATTTGAATTCTGCATCTTTAGATTGCTTATCTCCATTTTGTTTAGTTCTTTTTGTGGAGCTTTGTTATGTTCTTTCATTTGGGACATATTTTCTTGTCTTCCCATTTTGGCTGCCTCTTTGTGTTTGTTTCTATGTATTAGGTAGAACTCTTACATCTCTCATATCCACTAGGTATCCTGTGGGGCCCAATGGTACAGTCTCTCTGGTCACCTAAGCTCCAGGCGTGTCCCATATGTGGGTTGTGTGTGCCCTTGTGTTGTAGTTGAGCCTTGGTGGCTGTTTGCATGTCAATGAGAGAGATTGACTTTCAAGTTACTTTTTGTGAGAACTGGCAGTGACTACAGCAGAGAAGCTGTTGAGCTGGAGCTGACCCTATGAAACAGGATATGCTTTAGCAGGGCTCTGGTGCCTGCCCAGTCTTCTCTTTAGGTGTGTCATTTGTGAAGGTGGTTGGGTGGTGCTCCAGTGTGGTCTGAAGCTGGCCACCAGGAGTGTTGGATCTGGGGCCTCTTGGGAGGTGCTCTGGTGCGTACCAAGATCAGCTACTGCCTCTGCCCTGCCCAGGGCCACTTGGTATGAGATACAAAATGATCTGCAGATAGTTGCCACTTTTTCTAGGCTTAAAGGTGCTTGGGAGAGGCTAAGGTACAAAGTGAAGCTAGCTGCCATAAGTGCCAGGCTTGGGACTGCTTAGAAAGAGATACCAGGCACAATGAGGCTAGTTGCTGCCTGTTTGAGGTTTATAAACCTTTGAGAGCTTTTAAGAAAGTCTTCAGCATGAGCCAAGACAGGCTATTTGTAAGAAAAAGCCACTGGAAACGGCTTCAGTGCACCCACAAGTTGGGTGTGGTAGGATCTCAGAGAATCACCAGGGCAGTGTGAATGTTCTTAGCCATGTTGATGGAGACTCAGATATGGCATCCACTTGTGCAGGCTGGGTGAGGGATAGTTTCAACAAAGGAAAAATGGATTCTGCTGCCTTTCTGTCTGAGAGAAAACTGTCCCTCCAGCCCTTGCCCTGAAGCTAGACAATTTTGTTTTTGAGAGTTAAGTAAAAATATTTCGTTATCTTTTAAAAGTTAATTAATTGATTTTTTATGATGACATTTGTTAATGAAATCCAGTAAGTTTCAGCTATGTATTTTAACAGTAAGGCATAT